AAGGGCAGGTGAGGCGGTAACAGGTGCAGCGTAGACGGAGGGTGGGATTGGGACGGATGCCCGCGCAGGTTCTTCTTTCTTTACTTTCTGATAATATGTGTGTATGTTAAAAATCAAACATTTCTTGGTTAAGATGGGTCTGTTTTTAACATCACTGACTTTGTGGAGCACAGGTCTTCATTAATAGCGTAAGGCCAGTCCAGCAGCTCTTTACTTGAATGTAAACTCAAGTTCCCTGGAGGGCTCCACCCAGTGCCCATGGCTGGGTGCCTCCATCCCCCCCAGTTTCTGGTTCCAGATATCTTGGGTGGGGCCTGCTATGGTTTGAACATTTGTTTCCTCCAAAAGTCATGTTGAAACTTAATCTGCAGTGTGGCAGTATTGAGAGGTGGGGCTTTAAAGAGGCAGTGGGTCCCCAGGACTCTGTGTCATGAGTGGATTAATTCATTCATGGATTAATAGATTAGTGAGCTAATAGCTTACTAGGTTATCAAGGAGGAAGAGAGAGATCTCATCTCGCAGCTCACCCCCGATGGTATAATGCCCCACACCCCCTTGGAACTCTGTGGAACATCCCCACCTGCAAGAACTCTTGAGCAGACTTGGCTCCTTGGCCTTGTACTTGTCAGCCTCCAGAACTGCAAGCAATCGATTCCTTTTCTTTATAATACCCAGTTTCAGTTATTCTGTTATAAGCAACAATAAATGCAATAAGATGAGACCTAGGATCTAGGATGGCTTTCCTAGGATAGAAGCTTTGTATGGGACAGTGATGCTGCCGATCCCTGGGTCAGGCTTGGAGGAGCGGGGAGTGAAGGAAGCCAGCAGTAGACTATCTCGAGGTGGACAAACCAGTGGATTCACAGTTTAAGTCTCGTCAGCAATTACTGATTGCCTACTGCTTTCTCTGAAAGTGGTTTAGGAAAATATCACCATAGTGTATGCTTTTTTTTTTTTTAATTAAAGCAACTTCACATTTAAAGTGTGCAGTTTTCAAGACATTCAGAAACATGGCTGCGCCCTTTTTCTCAGCAGCCAAGGTGCTCCATCCCTTTGAGGAAGCAAAGGCTGCCTTAGGGCGGAGCCCTCACCCCAGCAGCAGGGGTGTTGTGCCGGGCAGTGCCAGTGCTGTGGCCACTACCTCTGAGCTTCCCTGTGTGCTTGGCCCTCAGTGCACTGCCACCAGGGTCAGATTGATCAAGGCCCCAATGCCTCCAGCAGCTCGTGTCTTTACTGGGCTAAATCTGCTGCTGTCCACTGAGATACAGTGATGGGCTCAGCCAGGATTCCAATGCGTTCTCCATGAGGAATTTTGCACCTGGACATTAGACAGAAGCCGAGAGGCCACGTACAGATGTTCCTTCTTAGCAGTGGCCCTGGAGCTGGATGCCTCACATTCCCACCAGGGAACCAACCTGCCACTCAGCATGAGAACAGCCTTGAGGCCCTGGCCCTGCACCATCCTCTGAGCCCTCCTGTACGTGGTGCAGCCTGCCTGGGCTTCCCTGTGGCCTGTCTGGGATTTCCCACAGCTGCCCATAGCATGCGCTGCCTGGACCCTAGCCAGGAGGGAAGCTTGTTTTGCACAGGACATGTTTCTACCTCACACCCATGGAAGGGGAAGGTAGTGGTTTATGCATCTGTAAGCATGCTATAAACAATATTGAGTTTCACGGTGAAAACTGGCACCAGAGAAGCAAGTTGAAAAGTTTAAAGCTGGTTGTCAACCAGGAGAGAATATGTCTCTTGTAGGTTGGCACCCCTGGGTTGGGCTTGTTTACCTTCTATTAGCCGTTTTCCTTTATGGCTCTGGCCCTTTAAGTGCACTGTCATCAGTGGTGTAGTCACATTTGATCTGAGGAGTTTAATTACTTGTTTAGATCCTTCCTTATTCCATGGGGGATTTAGGACGATTTTATCTAGATTGTAAAGAAAAGTGGCTGTCTGCGCAGTCCCCTACAGGTTTATAATCCGACAGTTCTGTATCTTTTAAATTAGACGCGCTCTGACATTTTAAGCTGTAAATGAACAGTGTTTAAAGCAGCTTGGAGGATACAGTTTTTTCTGTCTTTGGAGTCTGCGTCTCCCCCGCCCCCCGCCTCCCCCTGGCTCTCCTGCCTTGGCCGCAGCCCCCAGTCGTGCCTCCGTCCCCACCTGCTCTGTACTCCTTGGCCTTGCTTTTCAACCTGCCATTAAGTACTTTCCCGCTTGCTCAGTGCCTGCAGTTCATCCTTGCCACTCTTCCTCTCTCAACTACTAGAATAAAATTTCAAGTCAAGAAAGCAAAACGTACCACCTCTCTGCTGACCTGTCCACCTCCTGGCCCCAAGAGCTCTGGCTCTTTCTTCTGCCCACAGGGAACAGGAGCTTGAAAGGAGGCTCATTACTGGATGATTCTGGCTCACAGGAGGCATGTGGGAAGGTTCCCTTCCCTCTGTCATGGAACTTCTTTAGGGCGATCGGGTGCAAGGCGGGTTCCAGAAAAGCTCGAGTTTCTGAGGCTGTTCTCTACACTGCGTTTTCCCTGACAGACCACTCAGGGACACCTGTCTTAGAGACCTGCTGCGTCCATTTCAGGGGCAATGCCTCAGCAATCTCAAGTCCCCAGAAGGGTAGAGATTCTGAGGTTTGTGCACTGACATACAGCTCGTGCCATCGACAGAAGAACAAGGAAACAAGTAGCTAACCTGCCAAGGATGAACTTGCACCTGACCCAGGCCTGTGATGAGTTTTGTCCTGAAAATCAGGGAAAGCAGAAAGGACGGCGAGCACTCAAGGGGCCGAGGGTCCACTATAGGGAGGAGGGGCGGCAGAGCGCTCAGCACACACTGAACATGGGGTGAAGGGGCACTGGCTCAACAGCACAGCTGAGAGCCACACAGAGCAGCCTGTGCTGGCCCCTGGTAGTATTAGCACAGGGAGGGGGCCATGGGGCTGTCTCTGCCCCACTCTTAGGAGGGAAAGCCAGAGAGTGCCCAGAGCAAGTGCATTAAGCCCTGGGACCGGGAGGGGTGCGCATTCTGAGGCAGAGTCCAGAGTGGGCGGCCAGAGTGACCTGTGAGCCTGGTCCTGCTAGACTCTGAGTAGGCGTAGCAGATACCGCTGGTATAGCTGGGACATGTTTTTGGGTGTTGCTTAAAGGACAGGGAGCCGGGTCTGTGAAGATCATCTCCCTTGGGAAAAGAATCCTCTCTGCCTTCTGTTCATAAACAGATTCTGCCAGAGGGTGATTGATGTGTGGAACACTTAGGCCCAGTGTCGGCAGGCCCACACCTGTGTGCGTGTGAGTGTGTGTGACGTGCGTGAATGTTTACAAGCTTCGTATACACACACAGCTTTCTCTGCATTTTCTCAGTGTTGTATTTTGTTTCACTGCAGGTAGGCCAGTTAAAAGCCCTTAAAGTTGCCCAGCTGTTTTCAGGAACCACTGTTGGATCCGGCTATTCAAATTCAGGGCCAACTACACCCTGGCATGTGGCTCCACACCTTAAGTGCGAAATGTAAGATAGGATGGCCTGTGTCCTAATTAAACCTGAATTTGAATTTGGGCAGAGTCTTCCCTGTAAGGTGTGTGTGAAGGGCCCCATCCACGGCCTCCCAGGTTTGTGGACCACCTCCGTCACTGGCATTGCAGACCTGAAGGTGAGGGGCCCATCCAGGCTCCAGGACAAACCCTTTCCACCTTCACTGGAGGCCTGAGATGACTGTCACCAGGAAGCTCTCAGCTTCGCGTGGCTTACCTGGATTTGAAATCACCATATTTGGTATATAGTAGGACCTCTGTAAGGAGACCAGCCAAGAGACTGTACCAAAGTGGTCATCATACGGAGGCAGTGAGCATGAGGAATGCGGCCCGCTGTGGTGATATGTGCATGTGGTGCATGTCGTCGGTCTGTGAGAATTGGGTCAGTGCAAGGCGGGATCCGTGGGGGCAGGGGCAGCTGTGGAGGCCCTCTCTCCTGCATGTTCCTCAGTTTGCACGTGTGGCTCTTCCTCATGCACCACACCTCCTAGCAGAACACTCAGCTGGTTTGCAGGCCAGTGCTCTTTACACGCCTCCGCCGAGGCACTGCTGGTGTGAAGGGCAGCTGGCCTGTGATGAGCGTGCACGGCACGGCCAGCACTGACCTGACACGTTTCCTTGTGTGTCCTGTCTCGTCAGTGCTGTCTTTACACTACTGCAGCACCCACAGTAGTCCTTCTGTTGGTGAAATAGGAACAGTACAGTATCAGTACTGGTGAGACTGTACACACAGAGAAAGAGCCGCGGGTAAACAGGTCAGTAGAGACGGAGATCCTCACCACATGGAGTGCGGTATACTGTGTGTCAGTGGTTATAGTCTCAGAGGTGAGAGACCAGCTGTCTCTGACGCTCCTGTTCACCTTGTCTAAACACCAGGAAAAGGGGGTAGCAGGTGCCTCACTGCTTTGCTAAGACTGTACCCCTAGCGAGTGCCAAGCTGGGAGCTGATTCTCAAACTGTGTCCGCCATCCTGTGCCCTGCCCATACCCAGGTGTTCTGCCCTTGCCTAGGAGTGTCACAGCAAGGCCCACAGCCAGGTGCTCTGTGACTGGGAGTTGTTCTCTGGGCAGAGGAAATGTTCTCAGTGCAGTGGGCCGTGCCCAAGAGCATCTGGTGTGCTGTCCTCAGCACTCACGGGAATGCCGGCTACTCATACCATGTACCTCATGTGGAATTTACCATCCCAGGTATATGTTAGACTCAAATACACAGGTGTGAATAGAAAACCAGATCACTTCATTCTCTCCACATTTCTAACTTTTTTCAGATCACAACTTCAGAGATAACTCCAGCAAATTGAGGGGAAGCTGCTCAGGGTAAGAATAGACCATGAACATGTGCAGTTTGCCTTGTTCTCTGTGAAGGCCTTTTTTCAGGGAACGTGACCTCCCCGACGTCTGTGCACGCTGGCCTGACCCAGACCGACCGTTCGTGTGGTATGCACTATGAACGTCACTGTCGCATTTTGTTTCTGCAGACACTGAGCGGCTGTATTCAGTGGTGTTCCAGGAAATATGTGATCGCTATGGAAAGAATTACAGCTGGGACGTAAAGTCCCTGGTGATGGGCAAGAAGGCGCTGGAGGCTGCTCAGATTATAATAGACGTCCTGCAGCTCCCCGTGTCCAAAGAGGAGCTGGTGGAAGAAAGCCAGGCCAAGTTAAAGGAGCTGTTCCCCACGGCCGCGCTCATGCCAGGTACGGCTCCCTGGCCGCGGGCAGGGTGACATTTGGGAATGTTCACAGCATTGTTTGCAGTGACTTTTAAGGTCTGTCTCTTTTTCCCTTGTCAGGTCTTGGAACTGAATCTGTGCCAGGTGCTCCCCCAGAGACCTGGGTCAATGCTGTGCAGTGCTGGGGTTCAGTTTTTCTCTTCTCGGGCTTCTTAAAACAGCGTGGACTAGTTTCAGTGATTCCTAGGGTCCAAAAACATTTGAGTTTTGTTCTATAAAGAATATGCTCGTGATGGAATTGCTTCAAAGTTCAACTTGAATAAAAGGCTTTACTTTTTTTCTTTTCGAAATCAGATGTGGGATTAATATTCCAGCAACTCTTCAAATTTAAACAGTTTGATAAGCAGCTAAATCTTTCTAAAGAAAGTTAATTTTTGTTTTTTAGAAAGAGAAACTTTAAGAGCAGAAGTCATTTTTAGCCTGTCTGTATGCAGCGCAGCCTTTCTTGACTCGCATCCAATTTTCCTTTGAAAGGAAAGATAGCTTTGTTCCCTCTGGGCTTGTTAAGGGACCTGCTCAGAGCTGGATTGCCTGCTGCTTCTAGCTAAAACTGAGAAGGTCAGGAATGTTCTAGATTACAGATCTAAAAACGCTTGAAAGTGGACTGTTTGAAGATCCTGTAGCACAACGTGGTAAATTCTTTCTGTACAATTTCTGGTGCAAAGGAGAAAACAAAAATTGCAGTCACAGTAGTAATTTTAGATTTAAAGTTGTATTATTACGAGTCAGACATGTTTTTGAAGTGTATGTTATTTATAAATAGTATTTTTTGCATGTGGGGAACCTTAGGGTTTTCTTCGTGTAAAAACATATCATCTGCAAACAGAGATAATTTCACTTCTTCTTTTTCAGTTTGTATGGCTTTCATTTTCTTTCCCTGCCCAGTTTGCTCACAGTGGCACAGCTGTGTTGATAAGAGGGACGGGACTGGGGTCCTCGTCTTCCTCCTGCTCTTAGGGGAGAAGCCTTCAGCTCTTCTCCACTGAGAGTGATGTTAGCTGTGCACTTTCCACATGTGGCCTTTACTACGATGAGCTGTTTTGTTTTTTTTTTTTTTTTTTTTGGTCTCCTTTCTACTTAGCACACTGTTCAGATGTTCTGCGTGATTCAATTTGGTAGGTGTATGTTTCTAGACATTTATCTAGACATTTCTTTTAGATTATCCATTTTAGTATCCCGTACCAACAAACGTTTTTCTCCTTTAATTCTTTCTGTGGTGTAAATGGTAATTTCACCTGCATCCATTTCTGATATTAGTCATTTGAGTCTTCTTTTTTACTGTTAATGTAGCTGGGGGTCTGTCCATACGGTTCCTCTCTGACCTAGAGCCCCTTATGATTTAACATACAAACCGCTCAGCTGCACGAGCCCTGCAAATGTCTCTTCTCCAGTGCTTTTTTTTTTTTATTAAATGATAGCTGTATACATTAATTGAAACATGGGGTACAGTGTAGTGTTTTCATATACAATTTGAAATATTTTTTTTTTTTTTTTTTTGATAACGGAGCCTCAAGCT